TCAGTAGCAGTGATTTGTAATTTAATGAAAGCTAAAGAAGCCGCAAACCTAGTCAGATTAAATACATAATTATCGATTCTTCAAAGAGCTAGAGACGTAAATTATTGATAACCATTTGACCATTCAGTGCTGATCAATTCTTCAATCAGTTTATGAGTAGTAGTTAAAGCCAAAAACGCAGAGATTTCAAAATTGATATCAAATTCCGTTGATTTTGATTTCGATTTTGAAGAAGAAATGCTAGATAATTCAATTAAATGATCCAATTGATTCACCTTGATCACCTGAGTTTTAGAAACCAATTCGAGTCCACAGAATCTACTCGATCTAAAATCGAATTTGATACAAAAGTCGCAGATCAATGTAAGAGTTGATTGGTTTTTTTTCGTGCTCTGATCGTTTGTGCCAGTTTCGAATTCCAAGTGTAGAAATCCTAGAAACACAAAAGAGGAAGTCAGTCAACTTAATTGAGAATCTTTCAAGAAATCCTATTCATGATCAGTTTGACTTACGTTTACTTGAGAAGATCGTTCTGGAGATAGGTTGGAATGAGGAGTGGTGCCAAATATGGACTTTGCTGGGATGAAGTGAACCCAAGATCGAATAAAATCAAGGTTGTAGCCTTGGCAAGACGTCATTGAACTTCTTTAGAAGAATGCAATAATCGATTGTAATCTATTCAAAACAACACAAAAAAGTTCAAGATCAATCGCAGCAATGAAACCTCTTGATGGTGTTGTTGAATAATCACCTGAACCCCATTCTCCTATAGATAATACTTTCTGTTTGGAAGTTTCTAATTCTTGATCAGACTGAATCAACTCTTCAGGTTGATGATTCGAAGCATGATTGGTCCGAGGGAAGTGGGAGGTGTTCATCAGAAACACTTTGATCAGAAGACCTTAGAGATCGACGCAAGTGCAGACATAGGTTGATTGATGGAGAGCAGCTCTTCCGGACTGTTTTGAATCACAAAAACAGTGATATCAGTATTGGAATCTCAATTGATTGAGAAAGATGACAGTAAGAGAGTCGGTACTATTCCCACCTTAGTATAAGGACTGAGAGCAAACGGAAGGAAAGCCAAAGTGAAGAGATGGTCAGTTCGAATTGATTAGTAAATTGATTGATTGGAATCTTACTCACACCATGAGATGATTCAATTGGGTTATGAGTTATGAAATTTTGTTGATGATAGGTTTGATAGTGTTTTTGATGATTTTGATGATATATTGAACAAATCATATATCCAAGTTGAGTAGAAAGGAAATTTGCGGTGTGATTTCAGATGTTTCCTTTCAACGTTATTTCCAGCTTTTGAGCTTTTCAGACTTTTTGACCACTCATTTGGATTTGAAAACTAAAAAACTAAATCAAATCAAATCAATGATGTTGAATGGAATATAGAGAAAGGAATGAAAAAGGTAAACAATGTTGATAAGAAAGTTCAACAACTGTAGTACAGTCATGCCAGGAAAGCTTGACCAGTCGAACTTTTTTTTTTTACATTTCACAGCAATACAGGCAGATTTATAAGCATAGCCTGGTATTGTTATTGAATTTCAAACTGAGCTGTTGACCGAATCAGATCATAGCTCAGCTTGTTGACCACTCCCTCATTCTCCATTGATACATAGCTTTGTTTCCTTCCGCATTTCACCTTTCATCGTTCCACTGTCCCATTTATACATCATGCCTTATGTTCAATACACGCCACACATCAAAGTCATCGCTTTAACCAAGTTTATGGCCGGACAAACCGTTGATTCAATCAATAACGACTTACTCACCTTGATCTCACCTCGATCGTTCACTCGATGGAAGACCCTTTACAAAGACACTCAAGCCGTTGTCAGGAACCCAAATACCTACGAAAAACGCGGGCGAAAGACTATCTACTCCGACAATGATCGTCAGTTCATGGTTGAACTTATCGAAGCCGATCCGACCATGTTCCTAGACGAAATCCAAGAAGCGATGTATGATCACACCGATCTCATCGCTTGTCGACAAACCATAGCGAACGATTTGAAAGAAAGACTCTTTCTTACTGTTCACAAAGCTGCGAAAGTTGACATCAACCAGTCATTCGAACGTCAAGCAGTCTATTCGGGTGATGTTGCTCATCTGGCTCCTGAATGCTTGGTATTCTTAGGTTAGTCAAAGTTTCACTTCTCTATTTTGATTTCTATGATACTGATTCAATGATAATTCTTTTTTGACAAAGATGAGACTGGTATTCGACCGCAGGACGTGCAAAGGGACCATGTCAGGTCTAAAAAGGGCGAACGACCAAAGGCTATACGACGTACCAGGGCCGGCGTCCATTACTCTATGCTAGCCGTGGTCTGCGAGTTGGGTTTGCTGGCAGTCAACGCCAAGGTGAATGCCTATCACCGAACTGAATTCGAGGCTTTTCTAAAACATGTTCTAGTAAGTGTTTTTTCTTCCTCTCTACTCTGGGTGAACAAGTTCTGATTATCTTGAATTTAATCAAGCTCCCTGTCATGCGACCTTACCCAGAGCAAAACTCAGTCTTGGTCTTGGATAACGTTTCGATCCATCACCGTGGGACCATCGAGGCATTGTGCAACGAAGCACGGGTTCTTCTAGTTTACCTACCGCCATATTCACCATCATTCAATCCAATTGAGCGGACTTTCAAGGTATTCAAGGATACCCTCCGTCAAAATGGGCTATTTGCTGAGGCTCTTGACAAGTTGGGTTGTATGATGAGGGTCATGAGCAATATATGTACCAGCTCTTTTTTGGTTGGTTTATATAAGACTTGTGGTTACAGACCTATTGATGATGTGTTTTAAGATATTGCTGTTGTAAAATTCCTTCTCTGACCAAAAAAAATGTCTCTGTATTGCAATCTATTCAATGTGTTTGACCAAAAAAACATGAACAAGTTGAATTGAGCGAGATGAAACCAAGATAGAGATTGAAGCATAAAACCTTTCAAAAACATCAAGTCGAAACATTAAAAAGTGTCTCGAGATTTTTGAAATATGAGATGATTGATCCATCTCATATTTTAAAAATCTCGAGATGATCAGAAGGCATTTTGAAAATCTTGAGACACTTCTTAATGTTTTGAGTGAAAAGAAAAAAAGTAACCTTTGGTGTTATGATCATCAACTCTCACATGGGACTTTATTTAACTTGGTTTGTTGTAATTGGTTTGTTCAACAAAGCACCTTTTTATTACACAAAATCAATTCAAACTCAACAGACAATAATAGATAGCGAGTAATTTGACTATAGTATACTGTGGCTACAACATAAAACTCTTACTCTTTGACAGGGGAGACAGTACATTTTTTTTGATTGGAACAAAAAGAGAATTAGAAGGTCGGATTGTTTTTCTTTTTGAGGGAATCTCGATACATTGGAGCTTTTTCATGGAGTCGAAGACGTGGTCCAAAGGCAAACCCAAATTGGGCCATTACCGCACAGGAGAGCTCAGAAGATAAGAACATCTCGAAATCGACGATGTTGTATTTCTTGAGAAGATTGCGAGTGTCATGGTCGTCTGGGCTGATCGAGCAAAATTTGAGGTATTCTTCAAAGTCAGGAAGCGGTCTTGGGGCCGGAGAATCGGTTCGAGGTGCAGGTGCAGGTGCTTGGTTGTTGTTCATCGCAAGCATTGCACCAAGTGAATTGAGGGTCGAGTTTTGATTGCTGGATCTGGCGTTGCTGATGGGGAGCCACTTGAATTCCGGCCCAGAAGGCGGTGTTTTAATGGTGACTCCTGGTACCTTATTCACCTGTTTCAAAGGTATCAAATAAGGTATTAGTGTATTGCTTTTGTGAAACAAAACAAAAACATCACTTACAATTGCCTTGGCCCAGATGTCAAATGCCAGATGGGATAGATGCATCGCCAGAGAGGAATCTCGGGGGTTGACAAGTCCCATACACTCCCTTCCGCCAATCGATGCAGCTCCATACAAGGTCATTAGCATGACTCGTTGGGCCTGAACCTTGGCATCAACGTCGATGCTCTGGTTTAAAAGAACAATAAGCAGCCGTAGAAGAGGGAATAAAGATAGTAAAAAAACTTACCGACATCTCTACCTCCGCTCTTTGATCATCGTTCAACGCAGTGGGCATGTTGTGTTGCAAAGCTCGATTGAATTTCATTTCCTGTTCAATCATCAAAGATTGTAGTGTTAGTTTTTGATTAAGATAGATGAGAATATGAAATTGAATACCTTTGACTCCGTTTGAGCTTGCACCTTTGGGTTTTCCATGGCGAGACGAAACCCAAGCTTGTTTCCAGGCTTTGCAGTCATCGTTGCCTTGAATTTATTGAAGATGGTTTCTGTGTCGATCAAGGGCAGTAACAGCTTACCAAAGGTATCACCATGGCAGATATAGCCTTTGAGAGTCACTCGTCCTTCGACATCAGCGTCCCTGAGTATGTTGCCACATCCAGCCTTGTGTTTGTTGCAAGCCTCAAAGAGCGTCTGTTTCAATTCCAAAAGCAAACGACCGTGAATGTAAAGGAGGACATTGAATGCTGGCTTGGTGACATGGTCGGAGTACGTCACAGGAACACCAGACCGTTTCTGGGCATCTGAGAGGGCATCAGCAATGAATACATGGAAAGATAGTTTTGCTCGAGACGGTTTCTTGTCCTCGGTGGGAACAACCGCTACCGGTTCTTGAGTTGTTTGTGGAGCTGGACTTGGCGAAAGAGTCAGGTCCACATCGATACGTGGACCTAAAAAGGCAAATGTCAGTTAAGAAGTCTTTCAAACCTCTTGAAAGACTTACTGGACTCTGCTAAAGGAACTCGAGTTCCAGCGCCTTGACTGCTGAACATAGGATCCCGATGGATAATGTTCGGATTGTCGCCACGGTGTTCTCCAACGGCCGGGATAGAGGATCCTTGAATGGCTTGTGGACCCAAACTTGGTAAAGGAGCAGTATTGACGTGGATATCTACCGAGCAATGTAAAGTTAGTTTGTATTGAACTGAGAAGGAAGCAAGATTGGAAGAAAGAACTCACTGGGATGATGGAAAGTGCAAGGAAACTCCTGGAAGCCTGGCTCGGCGAAGGGATCAATATGGACCGATTCGGTGTTGAGGTATTGGCGTCTGCCGTATCGACGGTCCTCCCAATGATGACCGGGTCTGAAAACCGAAGAGAAGGTGATCAGACTCTTGAAGACAATGAAAGAGAAAAAAAAAGAAGGAACTCACTTGTCGAAATAACAAGGGGTCCCAGTCCTGCCCGAATCAGGACTGAGGCCTTCTCGCCCAGCCTGACGAGACCGGCGCCGTGCACTACAAAGAACAATTGTCAGTAACGGTCATGGAAAGAAAGAAATGTCAGTAACGGTCATGGAAAGAAAGAAATGTCAGTAACGGTCATGGAAAGAAAGAAATGATTTCGACTACTTACAAATCTCTCTTTCTTGCTTCGTCTTCGTCCGCAAGGGCTCTCTTCGTTTTTCTGGAGGGCATGGTGGTATATCGATGGTATATCGATGGTATCGGAAGGTATTGGATGATATGGAAGGTATAGGAAGGTAAAGGAGTGGTGGATCGAGGGGCGATGAGGGGAAATTGGTAAGCAGCCCAAATTCTATCCAGGGGTATCTCGATACAAGGCTATGTATGCTTATAAATATGCCTGTATTGCTGTGAAATGTAAAAAAAAAAAAGTTCGACCGGTCAAGCTTTCCTGGCGTGACTGTAGAACCTGAAAGACGATCTCCAGTGAGGATTTGTTGTTCAACTCCAAAATTTCTAGCCCTTTCAAGTATATCATCAAAATCATTTAGCAAAAACCAGTCTTGGTAAGTCGATGTTAAAACTGACCATCACGGATGTTTCATTGAACTAAGCTGAATAAACTTATTTTCCATTTAAACTCCACAAAAAAATTTGATCCGATAAATTTGAACCATATCCGATCAAGAGTTAGTAAATGTAGTTATCATTGAATTGTGAACTATTTGTATGATGGTTTAGTAAGATTGGATGATCTCTTAAGTTGTTTATGAAGTGTGTTCAATTTGATTTGAAGTTGGTTTTGATACAAAATTAGTCAAGTTGAATGAGTCTAAATGAAGTTCATTGGAGCTTGAGTTTGAAGTTGAAGTAGATTTGTTCTGCTGAAAGTTTTGATGAATTTGTTCAAATGGATTGATTGATAACTACTTGGATTGGGTGGTCTGATTTGCAGCAAGTGGGAGGATAGTGTGAAGA